TAGATTGGGGTCAGGTGAGGATCCTGGCCACAGGAACTTCCATTCTCCCTACAAGGATACCAATCCTTTACCATGAATATCATAAAATGTATCCTTATTTTGCACTTAAACTTCTTGAATTGAACAGTTCATTTTTATTTCCTCTTAATAATAGAAAGTTTAAGGCTAAGAATATTCTTCTGAGTACAGTTTTAGTTGTGTCCTATGTTCTGAGTTTTCTCTTTTTTGTTATTTTAAAAATAGTCTGTAGTGTAATTTTTTGATCAAAGAATTACTTAATCTGCTTTGTTGCTTCAGAATTTTAAAAGGGAGGGTTTAAAAATCTTATTTGAGAAATTAATATACATAATTGTAAACAACACAGACACATGCACAGAATATATGATGAATGTAGAAGGGAATAGTTGTAGCATAGGTCTAGATCTTTTCTGCTTTTCCTTGATCCTCCACCTAGTTTGTGTTGAGACTTCTCTTTCTTGCTCATGGCTCCTCTCACTAAGTTCATAGTTTGATTTAGTGGTTTACTGTGGATAAAATGACAGTTCCTGTGGCCAGGATTCTCACCTGGCCCTGGTTGGCTGGCTCACTGCACACATGTGGGCAATACATTGCTATTGACTCTATATAAACAGCTCTGCTCAGTTGTCAGGGTAACACAGTGGCATAGTTACAAGGCTGCAGGAGAGCAGAGCAGAGGCTGGAGTGGTGGCAGCACCAAGGACAGAGGCCCAGAGGATGGCTGTGCAGGTCCAGAGGCCCACAGAGAGAGAGAGAGAGCGGCTTGCTGCATGCAGACTCACTCTGAGTGGATGGGATTTTAGTGATTTACGTGCCACCATGGGAATAAAGTTGGGCATAACCCTTTCACCCCAAGAACATTCTACTGCCATTTCTTTAATCACACTGAATCCATAGTGAACTTGCCTGGGGCTGAAACCCATTGGCAAGACATTTACAATATGCTTTAAGAATCAGTAAGAATAGTCCCACCTTAGTATTCTCTTTCCATAATTTTATTAGCTAATTTAGACATCCCTTTTCCATGAAAATGTTCAAATCATTTAGTCCAGTTAAAAAAAACACACTGTTAGCATTAAAATCAGGATTGCATGAAATTTATACATTAATTCTGGAGAGGTGGCATTTTAATGTTAGGTCCTCCTATCCAAGAATGTGCTGTCATTCTATGTTCTTACCTTGTTTGTACACTTGAGTAGAACTCTAATTTTTTTTCATCTAGGTTTGTGCCTCTTGTTAAAATTTATTTTATAGAATGCCATAATGTGAGTGGAATCTTATCCTAATTTTCTAGTGATTATTCTTACAAATATATATTGATTTTTGTATATGCAGTCATTTAACAAATTTTACTAACTCTAATGATTTTTACTAGGATCCCCTGGGTTTAATGAAATGGAAAACCAAAAATTCTAGAAAGAATAAATACAAAACAAACTTAAAAAAAAAAGACAAATAAAAACGTATAAGGCTCCCAGCTGATGTGAATGCTTCTGGTCCAAGGACCATAATTTGAATACAAGCACACCTTAGAGATACTGGGGAGTTATTTCAGGTTCAGCTCCAGGCCACCGCAAAAAAGCAAGTCAAATGAATTTTTTGGTTTTGCAGTGCATATAAAAGTTATGTTTACACTATAATACACTGTAGTCTATTAGATGTGCAATAGTATTGTGTCTAAAAAAACAATAGGCATACCTTAATTAAAAGATACTACTTTATTGCTAGGAAATGCTCACCATCATCTCAGCTTTCAGTGAGTTGTAATCTCTTTGCTGGTGGAGGGTCTTGCCTTGGTATTTGATTTGCTGACTCATTAGGGTGGTGGTTGCTGAAGATTGGGGTGGCTGTGCCGTTTCTTCAGCTAAGACAGCAATGATGTTTGCTGCGTCAAGGGACTCTTCCTTTCATGAACCATTTCTCTGTCGCATGTGATACAGTTTGGTAGCATTTTCCTCACCGAAGTCCTTTCATATTTGGAGTCAAACCCTGCCACTCCTTTATCAACTAAGTTTATGGAATATTCTTATTCATTCATAAGAAACAGCTCCTCATCCATTACATTTTTATCATCAGATTGCAGCAATTCAGTCCCATCTTCAGGCTCCCCTTGTAATTCTAGTCCTCTTGCTGTTTCCACCACATCTGCAGTGACTTCCTCCACTGAAGTCTTGAACCCCTCAGTCATCCATGAAGTTGGAATCATCTTCCAAACTCCTGTTCATGTTGATATTTTGACCTTTTCCTATGAATCACTAATGTTCTTAATGGCATCTAGAATGGTGAATCCTTTCTAGAGCATTTTCAATTTACTTTCCCAGACCCATCAGAGGAATCACTGTCTATGATGATTATAGCCTTATGAAATGTATTTCTTAAATAATAAGACTGTAAAGTTGAAATTACTCCTTGATCTGTGGGTTGCAGAATGGATATTGTGTTAGCAGGCATGAAAACAACATTCATCTTGTCCATCTCCATCAGAGCTGTTAGGTGACCATGTGCATTGTCTATGAGCAAGTAGTATTTTGAAAGGAATATTTGTTTCTGAGCAGTAGGTTTTCAACAATGGGCTTAAATGATTCAGTAAATCTTGTAAAGAGATGTGTTGTCATATAGGCTTTGTTGTTCTATTTATAGAGCACAGGTAGAGTACATTTAGGATATCTCTTAGGGGCCCTAGGATTTCCAGAATGGTCAATGAGCATTGGCTTCAACTTAAAATCACCAGCTGCTTTAGCCCCTAACAAGAGAGTCGGCCTATTCTTTGAAGTGTTGAAGTCAGGAATTGACTTCTCTCTAGAAAGTCCAGATGGCATCTTCTTCCTATAGAGAGCCCTTTCTTCTATATTGCAAATCTGTTGTTTGGTGTAGCCAGCTCTATTAATCTTAGCAAGATCTTCTAGATAACTTGCTGAGCTTCTACATCATCACTTGCTGCTTCACATGACACTTCTATGTTATGGAGATGGCTTCTTTCCTTTAACCTCATAAAAACCACCCTTACTAGCTTCCAACTTTTCTTCTGCAGCTTCCTCACCTCACTCAGCCTTCATGGAATTGAAGAGAGGGCCTTGTTCTATATTAGGCTTTGGTTTAAGGCGATGTGGCTGGTTTGATCTTTTACCCAGACCACTAAAACATTCTTTATATCAGCAAAAAGGTGTTCACTGGAGCAGCCCTTTTCATTTCCTTTAAGAACTTTTCCTTTGCATTCACAACTTGCCTAACTGGATCAAGAGGCGTGGCTTTAGGCCTCTCTTGATTTTTGACATGCCCTCCTCACCAAACTTAATCAGTTCTAGCTTTTGACTTAAAGTGGGAGATGTGCAATTCTTCCTTTTACTTCAACACTCATTGAAAGATTATTAATTGGCTTAATTTCCATGGTGTTGTGTCATTTATTAAGTTTACCTTCTTAAATGGTTGTGGTTTGTGGTGCCCAAAACAATTACAAGGAAGTATGATAGAAAAGTGATCACACACCACCATAACAAATAAAATAGTAGTAAGAGAATGAAATATTGTGAGAATCACCAAAATGTGATGCAGAGACATGAAGTGAGTATATGCTTTTGGCAAAATGGCACTGATAGACTTGGTCAATCAACACAGAGTTACTAAAACCTTCAATTTGTAAAAAATGCAGCATCTGTAAATAAAGCAAAGTACAATAAAACGAGCTATACCTGTGACAAGGTTCCAGACCCATGGTTCTCAAATTTGGCTGCACATTAGAATCATGAGCTTTTAAAAACACCAATTTTTGGAGGTAGGAGCCAGGCATACATAATTTTTAAACATGTTCAGATGATTCTGTTTGCAGCAAAGTTGTGAACCGTTGTAGACTTGTAGTTAGCAAACTGTGGCCCACAGGTCAAATGCTGTGTTTGTAAACAAATTTTGTTGGAACACAGCCATGCTCATTTGTTTATATATTATTTGTTGCTGCTTTCATGCTACTGTGACAGAATTGAGTAGTTGTGAAAGAGACCATATGGCTGACAAAGCTTAAAATATTTAGGATTTGGCCTTTTCCATTAAAAAAAGTCTAAACAAAGAGAGTAGAGTCCCTTTGTCAACTCTCTCATACAGGCTTTGTTAGAATTTACCATTTCCAGGAGGCTCTGCTGTACTGAAAAGACTCTGCCCTTTCACCCCGTCATGGCATATTATGTTGGTTTTCTAAGCCAGTGTGTCATTTGAAAAACTCTAATTCCCAGCAAATTAACTCAAGTATTATTAAGCTTCTACTATGTGTCAGGCCCTTGAGATACTTAAGGAAATAAAAAAAGCAAAAAGCCCTGTTTTCATCCTAGTAGGTTAGGAGGAAGGGGAGATAGAGGAATAAGAGACAACAGGAATAGAAATAGATGACAATGTGATCAACCTTACTCATAATAAGAAAAATAAAAACAAAAATAATATATTTTCAATTAGGTTGGCAAAGAATGTGAGGGCATGCCTTGAGGGTGAGAGTTTAAATTGGTATGACTTCTTTAAGGGCAACTTCCTAGTATCCGGTGTAACTTTGCTAGATATTGTCTTGTTACTCCAGCAATTTCACTTCTAGGTGTCTACTGCTAAGTAGAAAAAAAAAAAGAGCAAGATACCGAACATTTTGTAGAGTATGCTACCATTTGTGTCAAGGGTAAAAATAATAATAGACTTTGCAGATGTAGGGCCTGTTTCTAAAAGGATAGGTAGAAAGGTGGTTACAGTTATAGTAGTTGCTTCCAGGGAGGGGTCCTGGGTGGCTGGGGGACTAGGAAAGGATACTTCATGCTCACTGTTAAATCTTTTGTACCTTTCAAGGTTTGTACCTTATGCATACGTTACCTATTTTTAAAAAACAGTATTAAAGTCAGCCATATCCAGGGTCTTATGTCTCATCAAATACTCCAAATACTCCCATCAAATACATCCAAATGGTCTATGTGCCACCAGATACAAATAAGTCATCAGACACCATCAAATAGTCAAAGTAATTATTTTATGGTTTATAAGTAATATTCAATTGTTAAAAATAGTCTACAGTCCATATTATTCACAGGAACCTAACTGTATATTATACTATTTGCTTCCTTTTAATACTCCCATTAAACCATTAGAAGTTGGTAAGAATGAGTCTTGATAGTAATCATTTTTGAAACTATATAATATTATGACTATAGTATTCTATTTTAAAATAGACTACATCCTTTAAAAGTAACTAAAAATCAGTAATTATTAAAACTAACATTTAAAACTAACAATTATGATCTTTCAACATATTTCTGTATAGCTCTAGAATATTACTTTTTTATTATCATTCAAAATTTATTTGGGTTAATGTGGTTTTGAAGCCACTGATCAATTGCCTTTTCATATTTCCTTGGTTCTCTCAGCCAGTCCTGATGCCACCTGAGGTTTGCTATCATGCTGGAATAGTTTTGCCCTACACTTTGTTTCCACTTGATAAACTGCTCTTTATTGTATTGGTGGACAGAAGCAGAAACTTGAGGGTAATTTATGATGGTACGAAGCTTCTGATCCAAAGAATAAGTTATTTCTGGAAATTCTGCAGCAACATTTGTTAGTTCATCTGGATCTGAGGACAGATCTGAAAGAAAAAAAATTAAATACCTGTTAAAATAGTTACCTGCTGTGAAAACATATTTTAGAATGTCATTACTCTGTGACAGATAATGTATTAGAATTTATTTCTATTTTCAGTTCCTCTTAGTATAGTAAGATGAAGGACAGCATAAATGGTAAAATAATATACTAAAAGTCAAATACCCCTGTAAAATGCATATCTAATTATCTTCCTTCTTAGCATCATACTGCTGTTCCAATTCTTTTCTTATCCATTCTTAGATGGCAGAAACAGTCACTCTTATCACTAGTAAGCTGGCTTAGCCCTAATTCTTCCTGTTTCTGATACCCTGTTTACTTTGACATGCAGAGAAAAAAAGAGTAATGCTTACATTAGCCCATTTCAATAGCCCGAAACTTTCCAGCTGTAAGAGTTATTTATATACCCAATTCATGTTCTTGAAACTTCACTCACTCCTAGTTTTCTATATATATGAGCATTGTGTGCTTGGATTTTTGAGTTAGATTCATCAGTACTGTCCATTTCAGCAAATAGCTATGGAAATAAAAACTTTAAATCACTGCCATAAAGAAAATAATGACGAATATTTCAGTATTATAAACACCCTTTTTATCTATGATGTAGGAAGACAGAGTATATACCTGGGAGGCCAATTTAATTGGAAAAACAGCAAATCAATGATCGTATGGCAATTTACTCTGGAATTCAGATGCTGATTTGCAAATAAGCTGCTCTTCACACGGGCAATCTTTTATAGGCTGTCCCAGCATGCTAAGCAGCAGATACTTATTTATTTCATGATGATTACTGGATCATCTCTTGAGCAAGATGATCTGGGTCAGCTCACTACATATAATAATAATACTACACTTAACAAATATATCAACAAATTTACCAAAGAGCTGCGGCATTACTGAAGCACCATCAGAGTAGGCTATATACTTCCACTGGTTAGTTCGAAGCATGTAGGAGGAAGCATTTACATTGCATCCATGGAATTCACTCAGAATCCAGGGTGGACGTGAGGTTTTGCATTTATGTTCATTCTTAAATGTTTCTGATGATAATGGTAACAAAGAGTATCCACTCAGGTTCTGAAGCAGAGGAATTCCAGCAATATCTATATAACAAATATAACACAGTATTTTTAATGACTCATCCTTTCATTAGTTGAACATTCACAAATGACATCATTATAGATCACAGAGATTAGAGACTATATATGGATTTTGTTAATACAGTCTAGATCCAAATGCTTTCTTTACTAGCCATGTGACCTTGAGCATGTTATTAACCATTTGGAACCTCAATTTCATCATCTGTAAAAGGGGAATTATAATATTACCCATATGGCATAGGTTTATTTTAGGTTTAAATATGATAACTTATGTAAAATTCTGAGATCAGTGCCTGACACATAGGAAAACCTCAACAAATATTAGTTAATGTCATTAGTCCTTTATTTCTGAATGATTAATCAGAGTTGTTTCTCATATTTGTTCCATGGGATATTAAAAAGACCAATACAAGAAAGGGCTTTAGTAGTCATATGTGTTTGCAAACAATGATTAAAATAAAATCAGTTAATTTATTGTTGATATAAATTTATTGTTGATGTGTATCACATACTTTCAAGGTGGTATATAGTATGCAGTGTGTCCCAACATTATTTGATGATAGAACATTTTTCTTAACCCCTAGGCAGCATCTTAAGGGACTAGTATTATGCAGAATATATGTTGGGAAGTCCTTCATTATGATTTAGGAATAAAATAATTTACTTTTTATTTATCAAACATAGACATATAAAACAGTAACATGAGAAATGTCTAACTTAAAAAGAGGTTGTATATTAAAAAATATTTTTTTAAGGTATTTGAGACTCAAACTATCCTTTTCCTGTAAAAAAATTACCATTAAACATGACTGGGTACTTAGGGTGGTTCCAAATGACTCTGCAGTTGCCTCTCCATCCCTTTTCTGGTTTCAGTGTTCTGTGTTTCTAGGTATAATTAAGTATTCCCAATGAAAAACAGAAAGTAATATATCTGCAGTGCTAGAAATTAAACAAAATTGAACAGGAAAATTAATTTGACTGTATTTGAGGAAAAACAGGTTAATTAAGGGAGAATGGGAAAGTAGACAAAGACCTCTGTAAATTTCCTAGAGATACTTATTTTACATTTAATTAAACATCTACACTTAATTTTTAAAGATGTGTCTTCCACTTCCATGGAAAGGGAAGTAATAATTGCAAGTAATAATCTCCTGCCAACCAATGACAATCAGGGATGTTTTTGAGAAAGAATGAATGACCAAATGAAAGAACAAAAGAACGAAGAAAGAATGAAGGAAAGAGAGAACTATGTCAGAGGTAACTGGTTAAAAACAAAAGGAGGAGCAGCAAAGACGTTAAAGAGGATGTGCTGCGTGAGGGGAAGGGGACGGCAGATGTGACTGAGCTACAGGACAGCAGGCTGGCCAGGCCTACTGGGAGGCCAAAAGGGAGCGGGGCACAGGCTGGGTCACGCTGGTCTGCATGTCAGCCACCAGGTGGCATCGCCAGCGAGGAACAGGAAGGGAGGGAAGGGGACTTTGAAGATGGTTGGGAAGCAGAGACCAGCTGGCATATACCATGACTGGGAAGTTCCTGTGTTTGGCATTTTAATAAACTTTAATACTTTGAAATACCTTATTTCAGATCTATTCTTAGCCTAACTTCCCTAAAGAAGCTTGGAAGACTTAAGAAAATGTACATGATTCTCCTGTGTTTATGTAAGTCAGCAGTAAACTGGGATAAAAGTCTATTTAAGTATCAATTTTTAAAATTTATTCAACAAACTAGGTGCAGTTTCAGGTGTAGGGAAACAGCAGTGGACAAAGCAGATAGGCTGTTTTAGAGCTTATGCCCTAATGTGAGGAGACGGAGAAATAAGTCAGGTAGTGGTAAGTGCAATGAAGAAAAATAAACAGGACAGGGAGATAGAGCACAATGTGCTGCTTCATGCAGTGTGGTCAGGGAAGGCCTCTCCAGTGTGGCAACATTTAAATAGAGACCCGAGGAAGGGCTAGAGGAGTCTTATAGATAGCTGGGGGTGGCGGGGTAAGGGCATTCCCCCAGGGAAGAGCAAATGTAGAGACCCTGAGGCAGGAGCCTGCTTGGTTCATTCCCCAAACACCAAGGAGTTCTGTATGGCTGGGGCAGGGTAAGTCAGGGGTAAATTGTGTAAGATGAGTTGTAGAGGGAGGAGATCATATTGGACTCCCAGGTCCAATTAGAGATTTTGGGTTTTACTTTAAGTGAAATGGGAAACCAGTAGAGGATTTTGAGCAAGAGCATGACATAGCCTGATGCTAATTACTGCATGGTTAATTGGCTAAAAGTGGGTTTGGGCAGAAGGTAGGTGTTGGAAGCTACTGCAGGGAGTTCAGGGATGAGATAATGGTGACTTATCTCCAGTGTATTATCAGTAAATTGTAAGCTGATGCTGAAGAACAAAACACGTCAGATATCCCTAGTGATAGAATCCGGACCTGAATACGGCCCTTTGAATAAGTCCACCCACCATCTTAGAGAGACCTAGGTTTCTTCTTACTTAGGCTACAAGCATCCTCCAGAGGATACGTCAGCAAGCCACAAGCCCAGTTTTTCCCCTGATCCCTCCCCTCAAAGAGCCTGCCAAAGCCCTGGCCATAAAAAGCCTCTTGACCTGTTAGAGACCCTCTTTTTCCTTTGTTCTGCTGGCCAGGACAGAGGGGGCCCTCTCAGGTTCAGCAATAAAGCTGCTTGGACTGTTGAGTTTGCATCCCCTCTCTTCTTTCATGTAGTATTTAATAAATACTTCAATATTTATTAACTTTTCTGTGCTTCAGGAAATGGGTTGTTCATTTCTCACATATTTGCCAGTGGTTTTCTTAAAAGCACTTTACCTTAAACTGCTTTTCAAAAAGCTCTTTGATGTTTGTTTAAAACCACTTTTCATACTTTTTTTCTTCAGGCATATATGTCATTTCAATTCCATTTTAAGGAAGTTTCATCTTTCTTGGTAGTATAAGCAAAGATTAGAAGTAACTTCATTAAATAATTCTTAATAAAGTACCTTAAACTTAGAACAATAAACAAATGGGTAAAAATGCAGAACTGGATATAAGTGATGGCCTCCTCAAGAGATACAAGATCATATTTCTTTCTGACCATACGAGTACATAAGAATTGGACTGGGATGGCAATGATGCAAACTATGTACATTTTTTAGGGAATACCTAAGAAGAATAGAAAATATTAATAATAATATCTAACACTTACTTGTTGACCACGTTCAGTCATTGTTCTAAGCTATGGAATAGCCAGTACCATTTCCATTTTATTGATAAGAAAATTGAAAACCAGAGATGTTAAATAACTTGCCCAATGCCATATAGTTGGCAAATACTGAACAAGGGACTTGAACTTTGGCAGTCTGACTCCAGGATGTCTGGACTCTTCAGTACTACAACACAAATATTGCTTTACTGTAGTTATTCAACTTTGCACTATTTTTCAGCCAATAAAAATCAAATTGGCTATGTAGAATGTCTCTCCCAACCCTCTGCTAAGACCTGTAATAAGGAGGGTTTTGCAATTTAAATCACTAGCAATTTAGCATTCTCTTAAACACAGCTGCATTTTTATATAATTACATTTTTCACAATTCAAAAAAATCTGGATTTATCCTTTATGTGAGAGGAAGGCAGGTGTTTTACAAAAATGACCAACTATTAAAAGAAAAATATTCACATGAAAATAAGTTTAAAAGATAAAATCAAAATAATTTTAATTTTAGAACAAAACTACCTTTATTTCTAACTGAACTAAATAAAGCATGCTGATACTAGATTATTAGAGAAGAAAATATTTGGGGGATTTATTTTTAAAGAATAATCTCTGAAGTAATGATATCAACTTTAATAGTATAAAGAATTCCTATTCATAAAAATGGCATTTTTCTGCCAGTATTAGAAAATGGTAAGGTGATAGTATACTCTAAAGGACCTACAATGACAAATAGACTAAGAATATTCTTCCTACTTTATCATAAAAATATAATTTTATAGGAAATGCACTCTTTTAAGACTCCTGTAAAAAATATTTGTAAATCTAGTTTGTAAACTAACAAATTTAAATTAAAAAAAAACAATTTGAAATTTATAAAGTTCAACAGACTCTTTATGCTCATTTAGGTTTATTAACACATTCTGTTTAAGGTTTTTTTCAAACAACATCTTTTATGTGATATTCCTAAGCTCCACAGAATGGAAGGGAAAGGGGAGGTCTTGCTTGAAACTCTGATCTGAAAAATTTTATCCTGATCTTTTTTTTAATGCTTTCACTCATATTTATTAGAAAAGAAGTCTATTCTTTGGATCTCCACTTCTATTCATTTTTTTAAAAACTTTTTAAAGATTTTAAAGGTCATCCAATAAAACGCACAGATCTTAGTGTACAGGTTGATGCCTTTTGACGTGTGCACACACTCATGTAACAATTACCCAGATAAAGATATCAAGCATTCTCACTAATTTTTTCCCCTATTCCCCACCCCTCTCCCCTATGGCAACTAGCAGTCTGTTCTCTGTGTCTATGAGTCTCTCTCTGTTTTGTTTATTTGTTTCTTTTGTTTTTTAGATTCCACATATAAGTGAAATCATATGGTATTTGTTTTTCTCTGCCTGGCTTATTTCACTTTGCATAATACTTTCTAGGTCTATCCACGTTGTTGCAAATAGCAAGATTTTATATTTTTTTATGGCTGAGTAATCCCCTATATTTTGTGTGTCAAGTGTGTTCATAAAAAATAATACAGTTATGGCTAAGCTAATAAAGGACCTTTATGTTTCTAAGAATAGATTATGTTTTATATCTATTTTAAGCTCCTAATTGTTACCAGAATCACAAAAGAAGTCCTTTGTAGATACTTTATCAAAATCTGTTTATGTTTACTAAGCAGAAGTGAAATATAACATACTATCCCACAGGTCTAATTTTAGAATCAATCACTGCTAAGGTAGCTTTAAACTGTTCTAGCACTGAGAAATTTCATTTTAAAATGTTGAACTGAACATCGGATTAAACACAGACCATCAGAGTTATCTTTGCCTTGCTGGCCTGGTAAGTTTATTCCTGTTAATCCTGTTGTAATTGTTAATAGCACCCTGTTAATCTAAAAAAATGTGCTGATTTGGATAATAAATTAGATGGGCACCCTTTATCAATTAACAAATCCAAACTAAAACAAAATCTGTTTATACACTTTTAAAGCCTACATTTTCTTTTCAATACATGGGGGCCATTTTCACATATCCTGTCACCTTTAAAATAAATTGACATATTCTACCTAATACATTAGTAGACATTAATACTATTTCTAGTTCTTTAATATAATAATATTAATATCCATGGATAAAAATCTTTGTATATATCTATATACAAAGAGAAATAGGATATTTCTCTCTGTCTTACAGATTTGTGAGAACTATATTAACCCTTTATCATTTGTTAAAAAGGTTAATTTTAGATAAATAATGTTGCAGTGTTGTTTCCTGGGTACAACATAAGTCTTTGCACCCCACTGCTTCCTTTTCTTCCTACCTTTTCTCTGGTTAACATCTGGTTAATAGGATGTTTTGTGTTTTATCTAAAGACCCAAGCACAGATATTCTCCTCCAGTCTCAACCCACAATCATAGAAAAGTAACTTTTCCCTCTTAGTAATGAAAACATTCATTATGAAATACATTATAAACCGTGCTATGCCTTAAAGATGTTAATATGCCTTAAAGATGTTAGTTTAGAAATGGAAAGACACTGCTTTTTGCCTTTACTGCCTTGACTCTAGTTGGGTAGATCTCATCAATACATGATCTAAATGCTGTTAATAAAATATACTCTGCAGGGAAATGTGACTCAGAAGGAGTCTATTTTTAAGAATCAGTGAAAGAAAAAATAAATGAAAATCTATGTAGAACTATGAGTTTTAGAAAGTTAAATAATGGACAAATTGCAGAAAAAAACTTAGACAATCGCAGAGAACCTACATTATTTACAGAAGAGTAGGGAGGAATGCAGAGGAGTTTCAGGGAATGCTTTGTCTTGGCTGAAGAAATGCTTAATGTCAAGTAATATAAACTAGGTGCAGATAGGCAGGTGTCTTTCCACGTGAATAAATAAATCCTCTCATTCTGATCAACTTTATTTGGTATTTTCTTATAAACTCTTAGATAAAGACTTTATGAAATACTCCAGTTTGCAGATGACTTTTGACTTTTGTCAAGTAATGATGATGGTGTATCAAGTAGAAAATTTGCATTGTAGACAAATATAAAACAATGGTTAAAGAAAAATGACTTAAACAATGCATATTCATCAACTAACATAAACAGTGATAGAATGACAAGAAGATTGGGACTCACTGCAGACAGCTCCCCACAGATAATGGACAATTTAGCCGCTGGGGTCAAATATGCCAAAACACCAAATCTCACTACGAAATATACTGAGGAAAGCCTAGAAAGAATTATCTCAACCTTTCACAATCTTCTGCAGTTCTGGTCACTGTACCCCAAGGAAACAGAAAAGGCTAAAAAGCTAAGCAAACTTAGAAATGGGGTGGGGAGTTGTGTATGAGGAGAAACTAGGGGAGAAAAATGTAAAGAAATTCTACCATAAAGGAGCATATATTCATAAGGCTATAAAGATGATCATAAGAGGGACACTTAAAAATATGCATATTGTCCATATATTTTTTATAAAAATGAAAATGAGGAATAGGGATTGCCTGGAAATTGATGGAACCAGAAAGTGGCAGAGATATAGCTAAGTGTGATAATTGGTTTGGAATAGATGGGAACCAGCAAATGATGACTAAAAAACTGAAGAGATTAAAAATACCCATCAGGCAAAAGAATAGCAAAGTGTGTTCAAATATGTAAGTGATGTGAAATGAAAGAAAAGGAAAGGGCACTGATACAAATTAACTTTAAATAAATGTAAGACACTGAAATAGTCTTTAGTTAAATAAAGGGAAAGACATTGTAGCAAGAGGAAGGAGATAAAAAGAACTTTATTTCTTTGATTTTCAGATTTTTTTCACATATTCGTATGTACATATTAAACATATATATCTTGTACTGTTATCTTTTTCTTTCACCAAAATCTGTTTACAAATTGATGGTATTTTTTGCAACTGATGGAGCCTTAGAAGTATTACAGTATTTAAATGTTATGGAATTAAAAGTGCTCTGCTAAATTAGAAACTGACAGTTGTTCTATATAATTTCCTCTGATGGTATTATTCTAGTACCTTTAACAAAACTGCTTACTACCCTTCCAAATGTTGCTGTTCTAGACCTAAGGTTATGGTCATAGACCTGAAGAAGCACATAAAGCAAATAGTACAGAACAATCTAAATATTCTGAAGAGAAATATATATGTTCATACTGTCAGATTAGGGGACTTTTCTAACACTGTACAAAATTAGTTGTTTCAAAGTGGATGGAATAATCCAGAAAGGAAATGATTACATTTTAGGGCGGTGGTGGTAGAGAACCAAATGATACAGGAGTCATATATATAAAGTTCTGATCCTGAATATCTTATGTGGCTTACTTTATAGTCATATCCTGATTATGCATCTTTTGAAGGAAAAACGTAGTTAAGTGAAGGACAAAGGAACCTGAGGAATATTTTTCAGATACAGATTTGACTCACAGTTACATGAGTTGCTCCAGGTCATAAAAAATGGCAGCAGGGCCTCTGACTGCTTTGCTTATTCATTCTCCAGTATTGTTACAAATAAATATGTACAAAATTACATTACTTACCAAGCATAGTAGGGTAAATATCCACAAGAGAAACCAAAGTTGATACTTGTAGGTTAGCCTTAATTCCTGGTCCCATTATCAAGAGTGGAACATGGGAACTAGCTTCGTACATACTCATTTTATAAAACTGACGATGTTCCATGGCCAGCTCCCCGTGGTCTGAGGTGTATATGACAACAGTTTTCTGAAGAATATCTAACTGGTGAAGAGCCAAAATAATTTCACCTACAACATAAATCAGGATAAATCTTAATTAGCTTTTAGTTGTTGTTTTATTCTGTCCCAGTAAGTTTATAAAAACTGTACCCTGTGAGAGTTTGTCAAGGCTCTTAATATCTGAATGTTGTTTACTGTTCTTAAGCAAGCTTTGCCAAGTTTCATGTGCCTGGTCCTCAGTTGACAGACTAGAGGGAGGAAGGAGAAAATATATGTAGGATAAGTTTCTTTATTTAGAGATCATGCTGGCTTGCTTTTTATGTTTCTATCAGGGAACAGAGAAAAAAGATTTTCCGCATAGTGACTCAAATGAAAAGAGAAAGGCAAGTCGGGATGTCAGCACTGTTGATGTCTCAGATGATGAAAGGACTTCTATCACCAACCCACAATTTCTGCCCAACAGCAGGGGATGTGAGGGGTCAGAACCCCTCCTCCTGGCTACCTTTTCTTCTAAGCAGCCAGTCATCAGATGACGCTCATGAGGTTGGCTGAGGATTATGGAAATCCCAGCTTTGAAGATCTAGAGGCAGTACAGACAGGATATGAATGTGATTTAGCATATTCTTGGATAAGGAATAACCAGACAGTAAAATTCCTCTGTCCACTCCTGTCTCTAAGTGTCCTGAAACTTCCTCCTTACTGTAAATAAGAGAGTCATCCTGAGGCTAGGTCCAGAGAAGGGTCAGCCCTGCTTTGGCAGTCCCTGAATCTGGCCGACAGGGTCTGCATTACTGAAACCAACCAGCCAACCCACAGGCGATTCAGAGGTGCAGTGAGAACTGAGACCAACTGCTCTACAGTTATTTACAGAGTTCAGAGCATCAGGATCTTTCAACTGGGCAACTGTAATTTCTTCCTAATTGGTCTTCTTGCCTCCATTCTCTTTCCCCTCTACACCATCCCTTGTAACACCCTGGTGGCTGTCTTTCTAAAATACCTGACCCTGTCCCACCCTCGCTTAGAACTTTTTCACAGCTTCCCACTGTCTCATTCTTTAGCAAGCTTCAACACACTCAGCTACCCCCTCGACCTTCACCTTCCACTATCCTGAACTACTTAGAATTCCCTGAACTAATAATAGTTTAGACTTTCTTGCCTCTGTACATACTCTCCTGCTGTGTTGAATGCCCTTTTTCCCACTGTCTGCTTGGCAAACTCCCATTCTTCCTTTATGACCCCGCTGAAATATTACCTCCCTGGTGAAGCATTCCTGCTCCTCCAGGCAGAGTGAATCACTCAGTCCCCCAAAGCCCTTACAATTTGTATACTACTGTAGTTACAACAACATGTGATAATTGCTGGTGTTACACTCAATCAATAAATGTTTAACAAGTCTTTACTATGTGCCAGGCACTATGAATGCAAAGCTACACACCTAGTATGCAATGTTGAAAAAAAAAGAAGTGCCTGCCCTCATTAAGTTCACATTCTTCAAGGGAAATGGACAGTAAACAAGTAAACAGACAAGACAATTAAAGGTTATGATGTAAACAAACAATAGGATAAGATATAGAGCAAGTAGGATGATGGGGCTGGTACACTAAGTTCTGGTGGTTGGAAAGCCCACAGAGGAGGAGATGCTATTTGAGCTGGGAGCTAAAGACAGAATAGCCAACCACATAAAAATCAGACAGAAGGGTATCTCAGGCAGAGGCACAGCAAATATAAAGGCCCTGAGGTGGAATGATAGAGTGTTCTTAATTAACGTGTGATTTTTTAAAATTATTTTTTATTAAAGTATCATTAATATACAATGTTATGTTGGTTTCAAATGTACATCACAGTGGTTCAACAGTCCCTGTGATCAATTTATATTGTGATTGTGAATTAATTATTGTGCCTTTTTATTCCCCTCCCCTCCATTCCACCCCTGCCACCCCCCTTCCCCTTGGTAACCATTAGTCACTTCTCAGTGCCTATGAGACTAATGCTGTTTTGTTCCTTTATTTTGCTTTGTTTTTATACTCCACAAAAAAGTGAAATTATATGGTGTTTGTATTTCTCCACCTGGCTTATTTCACTGAGCATAATACCCTTTAGATGATCCATGTTGTCACAAATGGCAGTATTTCTTTTTCTTTTTATGTCTGAATAATATTAAACTGTGTATATGTACCACATCTTCTTTATAAATCATCTGTTGATGGACACTTAGGTTGCTTCCCTATCTTGGCTATTGCAAATAGTGCAGTGATAAATATAGGGGTGCATATATTTTTTCAAATCATGGATTTTGTTTTCTTCAGGTGAATTCCTAGTAGTGGCATTACTGGGTCAAATGATATTTCTATTTTTAGTTTTTTGAGGAAACTCCATACAGCTTTTCACAGTGGTTGCACCAATTTGCATTCCCACCACAGTGTAGGAGGGTTCCCCTTTCTCCATATCCTCTCCACTGGCATTTGTTGTTTCTTGTATTTTGGATAGTGGCCTTTCTGACTGGTGTGAAGTCTTACTGTGGTTTTAATTTGCATTTTCCTGATAATTAGTCCTGTGGAGCATCTTTTCATTTGCCTGTTAGGCATTTGCATTTCTTTTCTGGAGAAGGTCTGTTCAGGTCCTTCACCCATTTTCTAATTGGATTATTTGTTTTTTGGTTTTGTAGTATATGAATTCTTTATATATTTTAGATGCTAACCCCTTATCAGATGAGTCATTTAAGAATATATTCTCCCATAATGTAGGATGCCTTTTTGTGCTGCTGATGGTGTCCCTTGCTGTACAGAAGCTTTTTGGTTTGATGCTGTCCCACTTGTTCATGTTTTATTTTGTTTCCCTTGTCCAAGGAGATGTGTCCAGGGGAAACTTGCCTGTGCTTATCTTCAAGAGATTTTTCTATGTTTTCTTCTAAGAATTTTATGGTTTCATGACTTAATTCAGGTCTTTGATCCATTTCAAGTTTCTTCTTGTGTATGGAGTTAAATAATCCAGTTTCATTCTCTTACATGTAATTGTCCAGTTTTGCCAACACCAGTCATTAAAGAGGCTGCCTTTTCCCCATTGTATATCCATGGCTCCTTTATCATATATCAATTGACCATAAATTCTTGGGTTTATATCTGGGCTCTCTTTTCTGTTCCATTGATCTATGGGCCTGTTCTTGTGCCAGTACCATATTGTCTTGATTACTGTAGCTTTGTAGTAAATCTTGAAGTTGGGGAGCATAATCCCCCCAGCTTTGTTCTTCTTTCTCAGGATTGCTTTGGTTATTCAGGGTCTTTTGTGGTTCCATATGAATTTTAGAGCTATTTGTTCTAGTTCATTGAAGAATGCTGTTGGTATTTTGATAGGGATTGCATTGAATCTGTAAATTGCTTTAGGCAGGATGGCCATTTTGACAATATTAATTCTTCCTATCCATGAGCATGGGATGTATTTCCATTTATTGGTATCTTCTTTAATTTCTCTCATGAGTGTCTTGGAGTTTTCAGGGTATAGGTCTTTTACTTCCTTGGTTAGGTTTATTCCTAGGTATTTTATTCTTTTTGATGCAATTATAAGTGGAATTGTTTTCCTGATTTCTCTTTCTGCTAGTTTGTTATTAGGTTACTGGAATTCAACAAATTTCTATATATTTTGTAACCTGAAACTTTGCTGAATTCAGTTATTAGTTCTAGCAGTTGTGGGTGGATTCTTTAGGGTTTTCTTGTATAATATCATGTCATGTGCAAATAGTGACAGTTTAACTTTTTCCTAACCAATTTGGATGCCTTTTATCTCTTTGTGTTGTCTAATTGCCAATGGCTAGGCCCTCCAGTACTATGTTGAATGAAAGTGGTGAGAATGGGCATCCTTGTCTTGTTCCCAATCTTAGAGTATTAAGCACAATGTTGGCTGTGGGTTTGTTGTATATGGTCTTCATTATGTTAAGGTACTTACCCTCTATACCCATTTTGTTGAGAGTTTTTATCATGAATGGATGTTGAATTTTGTCCAATGCTTTTTCAGCATCTATTGAGATGATCATGTAGCTTTTATCCTTCTTTTTGTTAATGTGGTTTATGATATTGATTGATTTGTGAATATTGTACCATCCTTGCATCCCTGGAATAAATTCCACTTGGTCATGATTGTTTTGATGTATTTTTGGATTCAGTTTGCTAACATTTTGTTGAGGATTTTTGCATCTTTGTTCATCAGGGATATTGGTCTGTAATTTTCTATTTTTGTGGTGTCTTTGTCTGCTTTTGGTATTAAAGAGTGATGCTGACCTCACAGAATGAGTTTGGAAGTATTCCCTTCTCTTCTACTTTTTGGAATACTTTAAGAAGAATAGCTATTAGCTCTTTTTTAAATGTTTGGTAGAATTTGTCTTTGAAGTCTTCTGAACCTGGGTTTTGTTTTTTGGGAGTTTTTAAATTACTAATTTGATTTCATTGCTGGTAATTGGTCTGTTCAGATTTTCTGTTTCTTCCTGGGTCAATCTTGTATTTTTCTAGGAAGTTGTCCATTTCTTCTAGTTTGTGCAATTTATTGGCATATAATTTTTCATAGTATTCTCTAATAATTCTTTGTATTTCTGTGGTGTCCATTGTGATTATTCCTTTTTTATTCTGATTCTGTTTATGTGTATACACTCTCTTTTTTCTTGGTAAGTCTGGCTATGAATTTATCTATTTTTTAATTTTCTCGAAGAACCAGCATCTAGTTTCATTGATTTTTCTCTGTTGTTTATTCTTCTCTATTTATTTATTTCTCCTCTGATCTTCATTATGTCCCTCCTACTGACTTTCAGTTTCATTTATTCTTTTTCTAGTTTCTTTAGTTGTGAGTTTAGATTTTACTTGGGATTGTTCTTGTTTTTTTAGGTAAGCCTGTATTGCTGTGTACTTTCCTCTTAGAACTGCCTTTGCCACCTTCCACAGATTTTGGGCTGTTGTATTTTTGTTTTCATTTCTTTCCATGTATTGCTTGATTTCTGTTTTAATTTGTTCATTGATCCATTGATTATATAGAAGCATGTTTTTTAGCCTCCATAGATTTGTAGGTCTTTTTGTTTTCTTTGTGTGATTTATTTCTAGTTTCATACCATTGTAGTCTGAGAAGCTGCTTGATACAATTTCAGTCTTAAAATTTATTGAGGTACTTCTTATGGCATAGTATATGAGCAATTCTGAAGAATGTTCCATGTACACTTGAAAAAAATGTGTATCCTGCTGCTCTTGGGTGGAATGTTCTGTAGATATCTGTTGAGTCCATTTGATCTACTGTATTGTTCAGTGCCTCTGTTTCTTTATTTTCTGTCTGGTTGATCTATTGATGTGAGTGGTGTGTTAAAGTTTCCTGAAATGAATGTGTTGCAATCTTTTCCCCTCTTTAATTCTGTTAGTATTTATTTTACATATCTAGGTGCTCCTGTGTTGGGTGCATAGATATTTATAATGGTATATCCTCTTGTTGGACTGACCCCTTTATCATTATATAATGTCCTTTTTTTTGTCTCTTGTTACCTTCTTTGTTTTGAAATCAATTTTGTCTGATATAAATACTGCTACTCCTGATTTTTTCTCATTATTTGCAGGGAATATCTTGTTCCATCCCTGCACTTTTAGTCTGTGTATATCTGTGGGTCTGAAATGAGTCTCTTGTAGGCAGCATATAGATGGGTCTTTTCCTTTTTTATCCATTCTGCCACTCTATGTCTTGATTGTTGCATTCAGTCCATTTATATTTAAGCTGATTATTGATAGATATGTACTTATTGCCATTTTATTGTTTTCTGGCTGTTTTTTATAGCTCCTCTCTATTCCTTTCTTCATCCTTTAATCTCTTCTCTTGTTATAGATGCTTTTATTTAGTTCTATAATTGGATTTCTCTTTTTTAAAAATTTGTTTATTTTTATGCATGTGTCTTCATTGTAGGCTTTAGTTTTGTGGTTACCAAAGATTCAAGGATAACTTCCTTACTATATAATAGTCTATCTTAAATTGAAATTACTCTGTTTCAAACACAATCTAAAGGTACTTTTTTTTTCCTTCTTCATTTTCCTCCTCCACATTTTTCATATTAGATGTTATAGTTTTGACTGATTTTGTGTATAGTTGACTTTGTTTCTTTTGTTTTGTTCTAATTTCGAACTTGCTTGGTAATTAGTTGGTTTACTACCTTTACTGTGGGTTTATTTTCACTGGTGAAAGCTATTTAGCTTTAGGGTCTTTTCCATCTATAGCAGTTCCTTTAACATATCCTGTAAGGCTGGCTTAGTGGTGGAAAATTCCTTCAACTTTTGTTTATCTGGGAATTGTTTAATACCAGCTTCAAATTCAAATGATAATCTTGCCAGGTAGAGGATTCTTGGTTGGAGGTCCTTCTGTTTCAGTACTTTAAATATATCATGCCATTCCCTTCTGGCCTGTAAGGTTTCTGCTGAGAAGTCTAATGATAGCCTGATGGGGTTTCCTTTATAAGTGATCCTTTTTCTCTCTATGGCTGCTTTCAATACTTCTCCTTATCCTTGGTCTTTGCCATTTTAATTATATGTCATGGTGTTGTCTTCTGAGGTTCCTTTAGTGAGGGGTTCTCAGCACTTCCATGACCTAAGTGCCTATTTCCTTCCCCAAATTGGGGAAGTTTACAATAATTAAAGAGACTTTATATCCCTTTGTCTCTCTCTTCTCCTTCTGATACCCCTATTATGTGAATATTGTTTCATGTGGATTGGTCACATAGCTCTCTTATCATTCTTTCACTCCTAGAGATCCTTTTTCTTCTCTGTTCCTCAGCTTCTTTTTCCTGTTCTCTAATTTCCATTTCATTTACCATCTCCTCTGCATGTTCTAGTCTACTCTTAAGTCCTTCCATTGTCTGTTTCATTTCAGATCCTGTATTCTTCAGTGATAATTGGCTCCTTTGCAGGTTTTCTATCTCTTTGCTGAAATCTTCCCTGAGATCTGGTTCTGTTTTGCAGGGGCCCCAGCTGTTGGCATGCCATGGGGAGGGCCACCTGTCTGGCTGGCTTCTGTAGTGGTCTAAGTTGGGTGGGCAGTTTGCTTCAGCTGTGCCTTTGTGATCAGCTCAGGAGTCTCTGTTGAGCTCACTGTGGGCTGTGTCACCCTCTGCCTGGCCTGCAGGATTGGCAGGGCTACAGGGTTAGTGGGTTGGGTGGACTGATGTCTGGTTCTGCCCTGGCCAGATGCATAGCACTAAGTTTGGGCACTCGCGGGGAGGAAGGAGCTCTTGGGGATGGCTCCAGTAGGTTCCTCCCTGGTTGGGCTGGAATGGAGCCAAGGAAGCTGGGGGAGTCTCCCTTTGCCTTCCAGGCAGAAAAGTCTGATGCTGCCACAGGCCAAGTGTGTTGGCTCCCAGCAGTGTGCACAGGGAGGAGCCTCAGGGCTGTGTTGCCAGCAAGGGGGATGGAGTATCTGGGGCTCCCAAGAGTTCCTGATCTGTTGGGCCAAGGGAGGGCTGGGGAGGTATGATCCACCTGACCTTTCTCCTAAGGAGAGAGTTCTGTCCAACCCTCACCCCTCTGGCACCCCTCCTGCTGCTGACAAGTCTTTCAAATTGCCACCTCTTTTTGGGTCTCAGGACTGGTGGAGCATGCCTGCTTCCCACACTGGCTGGAGTCTCAGCCTCCCAGAATGTTCCAGCTGTCCTTGGTGTCCAGCCCCGATAATCACCAGAACCCAGTGTAATGTGAGCCCGTGATCTCAGGGCAGATCTCCAAGGCCAGGTGTGCAGTGCTCCTTGGCTCCTACGTCCTCCCATGCCATTCCTCTTTCTCCTGCCTGTAGACTGGGGTCAGGGAGGGCTTGGGTCCCACTCATTCTTGGCTCTGCCACTTTACCCTTTCTGTGAGGTCCTCTCTTTTTCATCAGGTATAGCTGGTCTGTTCTGCAGTCTTCAGGTTGTTTTCAGGTTTAGTTGTATTTGTTGTATTTTCTTTTATGTAGTTTTGGGAGGAGATTTCTGCCTTGCCTTCCTATTCTGTTATCTTCCATGATTTTTAATAATGTCCAACTTAATGTCTGAGAGATGATAGGCAGAATATTAAACACACTGAACAGTATTTGGTGGCCAAACTAGTGTAGATATAACAAAAAAGATACAATATATTCCATAAACTTTGTACCTTGAAGTGAGATGCTGTATTTTTTTTCTATGAAGAGACTTCAAGAAGTATTCCCAATAAGCTACAGCAACATTATATATATATATAGTATTTCACTTTAATAGATGTGGATAAATAGAGCTGCAAACTTTCAAAAAAATGATTTCCAGAGTACAAATGGGTGACTATTTACTACCAACAGAAAAATACTAAAATACAAGTCATCATCTGTGGATTTAGGATTAAAGAAATTTAACTTAAAATCTTATTTGCATTTAAGATTGAGTACTTGCAAAGTCCTTAGGACTTTTAATACATATTATCTTGCTATATTATAATAATTTATCTACTTGACTTTTTTGCTTTATGCTTTATATTTTTCTATTTTTACCCAATGAATGCTTTTTAAGAAACAGCCATTCACTTGTTAATTCTCAAGGTTTACTTTGTAGAGAAGAAGTGCTACCCACACTTCATTAAAGCAGTTATGCTCTACTCCAAAATATAGCAAAATAAATGATACAGTTTTATGAAAATAACTTGTTAGAAAAACTGATACATTTTAAATCAAGGTTTTTCCACAACTGAACTGGAAACTGATGTCTACAAGTGAATAGGCAAAACACTTTCTTGACGATCACTTTATGGAGGCAGATTTGGTTTTGAGCTGAATTAGGGAAGAAAATTCAATATAATTCTGAACCATAACATGCATGGGAAATTGATTTCAATGTAGTTAAGCCTTGTTCTAAAGAGCCTACGGAGAATGGATTTGTTTTGCAGTTATTTTAAGTCTGGGAAGAATGGGAAGAAGTCACAAGATTCTATGAATAAACTCTCATTTCCTAGAACTGAAGCTGTCTTATAATTCCCTGTCACATGTGTAACCTGTCTTTGGCTGAACACTGATTCCTTAATAAAGACAGTAAGACATTTTGTTTCAAGCAGATGATAGCCTTCTATGACCCTGTCTTTACGTATGAACAAATCTGAATTTTTATTGACTTATGCATAATTAAGATAAAAAAGGCTTTTTGTTCTATTAATAATGTAAATTATCCCATTTCTGTATGTGTCAAGATTTTTACAATTCTAAATCTGAAGTATCTAAGCAACTATTGGACATTATCTGAGGATGTTTATCAACAACCAGCATGATCACAGTTTGTTGGAAAAATATTATACTTCTTCTTCATGTAATTGCTTATTAATTATATCACCTACCAAGCATGGCATCTGTCTCAGCACACATAGCATAATAAAATGCTCTAATATTCTTAATTTCTTTTTCTGTAAATTTCCCAGTACAGTTTTTTGTATAAGAAGAGTAATAATCAATAGGGTGCATTTCTGACAGAGGTGACCACTTTGGGATTTTGATGGCATTATAAGACACCTAAAAAGGAGAGAAAAATAAAGTAGTAATATTCCTTTCCTCCAACAAGTATGTATGATGAACTAGACAATGTTTAATTACTTAGGATAGTAGAAAAAATGGTTATAAATTATGTAAATAGTAGTCAGACACAGAAAATAGGAAAAAAATTAATATTCCCAGTAACAACAAAACATATATACATATCTGTATCTATCATGAAACAGTTATAAAATTTTTTAAAAAATTATACATGTCAGTGAAAAAACATCACCTATATTAGATAGTATTCTAGTCCAGAAAAAGTGTCCAAGTACTTTAACATAGTTGTGTGATCAGTTCAAAACCCCAGAATCAATAACCTAAGAATCTAGACTTGTTTTTCCCAATAATTCAGTAGTTAAAAATGCCAGTATCTAGTGAAGTAGTTAAATATTTGTTAAAAACAAATAACTTTTTAATATATATAATGCTTAGTTTTAGATAAAATAATTAAAATACTTAAGATGACTTAAGTTATAGGTATCTTTAAGTCATGTAGACTTAAAAATTTTCAAATATCTATTTACTATTTACTTAAAAGTCATTTGATTCAATTCATTAGATTAGTAATTGATTTCAGACAAATTTTTCAAGGTAGACCCAGTTAGAACTTTTTAAGAAGACATGAAGTATCTAAAATTTTGACATTGTTTCCTTAAAATAGGATTCACTAAATAGCATCTCTGATTAGAATTTTTAAATTAGATTCAAGATGACACATTTCAAATCACAGGCAGTCCTCACTTAGCAGGGTCCAGATATGCATGGATTTCAGTTACCACTGTTTAAATAACACCAGGCCCCCAACAACAGGGTTCAAATTTTAGTTACCAAGGTATATTAACTGTGAGTTACTGCATAAAGAACAAATTTTCACATTCAAATGCTGCCAGCTCTTTAGTCTACAAATCACTATATAAATTACAGATGTGTATCACAATCAGTGACTAATCCCATCATTTCTTTCAAAATCTGTCAGTGACGGTCACTGAACATCTTTTATTCAGTACACACACCCTCAGCAGTTTGTGCTGTCTCCTTGTCTCCCAGTGGTAAATCCATGTGACATTTTGTGAAAATGGATACTCAAAAGAGGGAATTGGTCGACACTGATGAATGTATAATAAAGAAATAAGTTGATAACACTGGATATGAAATTTGAATTAAACATTAACTGGAGTTATAGAAGAAATAGGTGACCTGGGAATCTGTCACTGCCACCATTTGATACACTCTAGATATGCAACTAGAGGAACTTAGTGAAGACACACTCATTGATATGCATGAGGAAGGTCATTGTGAAGAAAAGGATGAACATGTTCTAGAGGAGGTGACAGAAGCAAAAGATCTTCACATTAACGGAACTCTCAGAAATATAGCATGACATTGGCATGCAAAGGGTAAAATGTTGGAAGGTGATCGCAATTTAGAAAAGAATATGACAATTTGTCAAGACATAAGAAGATGCTTGCCCTGAATCTTGTTATACAATGAGAGGGTAAGCACTGTTCAAACTACTCTTGATTCATTTTTTGCAAAACACCAAGACACTTTTATTCTCAAAGTTTCTAGTGTTTTCAATTAGTGAATTATATAAACATTAGTTTTACAATTTGTTTCATTTCCCCTATACATTTATAACCCAAAATAAAAGAGTTTTTAAGTGTTTTGACAAATGTTTTTTAAAGTCCTAGAAAAATGGTCATTTTCCCAATTGATTATTAAATCTCTTTGTACAGTCACAGCTTGCCATGGCCATTTACACCATCCAGAGCTGTGCCAAGTGAGGACTGCCTGAGCTCCTGAGGGAATGTGTCTTTCAGTTTCTTTTCTTTTAGACATGTTATATGTAAATATATATTCAACTCAGAAGTAGGTTTCTGAGTTTTAACATCTATTTTATTTTTTAAAAACTGCTCCTGTAGTTTTTGTCAAACAGTTTTTGTTCATGGCTGATCTACTGAGAATATACAATTTTCACATTTTTCTTTAAAAGTGATAATACAAGAAACATTGAGCAAATACCAACAGCAGATTATAATGTAAATGTCTACTTCTGAGCACACATGGTATGCTTACCTTTTTAAGCCAATAAAGAGAAGTGCGAAATGTTGAAGATCCAAAATTTTCTCCTGAAGATGGTGAAGGATATGGGTGTGGTAAATTTAATCCCAAATACAGAACAAATGGTTGAGTGTAATTAATTGCTTCATTTCTTAACCAGTTTACTGCTCTGTCTGTATTTTCCCAGTCCCTTTCCATTACTCTTATTTTGGTCTTTTTAGGGATCAGATTAACCGTAGGCCTGCCCTCTTGTCTGAGTAAGAAATCAACATCTCTTGTCCATGCTTCCACACGATTGCTGAGGGGGCAAAAAGACAGATACATTGTAAGGTATTAAAAAATGTTTAGAAAACTTACTAAGCAGAAATATAAGCACATGGAAACCATTTTTAAACTCTGTCATGTAAATGTTCAGACTAACTATTCTAGATCTCATTAAGAAAGTCATTGGACATTGCAAATTCAAAAGCCAGGGGAAAAAAAGAACAAGAATCAAATATTCACCTATGTGTTCTTTAAAATTGAGACATTATTTAGAAGGGTTACCTTTTCTTTTAACAAGATATTAGGTAAAATAAAAAATGTTTTAAATTCCTAGTACTTCTGAATTTTCTAGCATTTTGTCTTTTTTTCTGAAAAGAGAAAGAGTATTTCTAACCAAAGTTCCCATAAGTTCCTACCAGTGAGTCCTAACATTTTTTAAGTCCTACCTCCCATGTGTACCTTATGGGCTTCTGAAGTCTCATGTTTTAAATTGTTTCAAGCTGCATGTTATTATAAGAACAATATTAACAATGATCTAAGCTATCTAAGCTAATAGTGATGCAAATTTCCTATCCATTATAAATTAGATATACTTTCCTTATTAACTGATTTAAAAGCTAAATGATTCAACCAACTCAATTTTTCTCAATCTTTAGTCAGTTTTATGTTACTACTTGATAAGTAAGTAGTATTTACTACTACTTTTTCTTAATGTGTAAGTATATTTAGCTGGCATAATTGTTTAAGAAACAGTCCTGGACTTTTCTAAGCAGCTGGTTTTTATATTTCAGCTGAAGGCAAGCACCTCTGAAGTGCCTGCTCAATTAAGAAAAGAGTTTTAAAAATTCAGACACCAATATAGAAATGATGACTATTTTATATTAAAATATAAATTTCGAACCACAAAAAGTGACTAATAAGTTCATAAATGAGGTAAAATAGATCTTTTATCTAACTTTTAAGGGCAGATCGAGAAATTTAAGCAGACATAATAAAAAACAGAGTATCAGGGGAATTACATCTATCTAACAGATTCTAATTTATTCTACCTAGCACATGGAAAACTAAAACAGTTTTGTAAAATGTATCACACTATCAAGATAATATAACATTAGTTTCTCAGTCTTTTACTTAAATCATTGTTTTCCCAGCCCAGTTTTCCTTCTGACCATTAACATTAATGAGGAAAATAGCAAAAGAGAACATAAATATGCAACCTCATAATCTTCGACAATTACTGTGACAGAAAATAACACTTAAAATTATAATTCTCTCTACTAAACAACCAGCGTCTCCAATCCCTTCCTAACCCGGCCAAATCACTGCATCAGGAAACAGTGTCTTCTGACCATATGCTTAGATTTAGTTCTTGTTTCTTTGTTCTAAGTGTTATCTCCACTCCCCCACCCCACAACTAATTCTTATAACCTTCTCCAAATATAAACTTTCTAATTACTTGGCCACTGAGGTATTTTGAATAAATTTCCATTTCATTTCTATGTACTGTGGAATATCAAGGGTATGGTTTCAATCAGGACAATTAAAAAGGGCTTATATTAATGGGGAGGAGCCAAAACTACCCATGTTTTAGGTACTTTAGGATTCACTGGCTCCTCTTAGTGTAGGTTTACCCTGTTACTTGAAATAGGCACAAACATACAATGTATAGTTTCCTGTATGCCAGCATTTCTCAAGTATGGCCCTGAAATCTCTGGAAGGTCCTGGAAAGGTTTTCAAGGGTCCATGGGGTCAAAACCATTGTCATAATAAGATATTTTTTGCCTTTTTTATTTTCATTCCCTCAGGAATGTACAGTGGAGGAGAGCACTCTAATTTAGCCTGAGGTGGGAGCTCAGACGTGGAGTATATCTCTCTCAAAGGAGGCTGTTTTCCATAAACTTTAAGAGGCTTTATTTAATCTGTTGTTTTGTCCCAGTATATTTTGTACCTAAGTGTCCCTCCTGTGTGTTCAAAAGTCTACTTCAAATCCTTGTAGAAATTTAAGAGGAACTTCTCTAATCAAAGGGACACAAAAAATAACCACGTTTTTGATAAAGGCATTCACAATGGTTATGCCTTTTGTCCTTCCTCCACCTGAGGTCCAGTTCTTTATAATCTTGCTAATCTAGAGTGGTCCGTGGACCAGCAGCAGTCAGCCTCGCCTGGGAGCCTGCTACAAATGCAGAATCTCAGGCCCCATCCCACACCCCCTGAATGAGAAGGGACATTTCATAAGATGCCCAGGTGATGTGTGTACATACGAAAGCTTGAGATGCACTGTTCTACATAACATTGTAGGGATCCTTTTATGCCAAAAAAAAAAAAAACCTCTCAAGTTTTACACAGGATAACCAAAATAGTTTCTGTAGTAGCCCAAGAATAGGAGAACTATTCTACCTTGGTTCAACTCCAGAAAATAAGGCGACAGCAATGTGCTATCTGACAATCGGCAGTTTGATTAGTTCTTTGTAACAACAGTCTCCTACTATAAATGGAAAATGACACTACTGAACACATTACCAACAGTTTGTTGCATACATTTGTATATGTGCCATTGCTGTGTGGTTTTCTGTGCCAGTGTGCCAACTTCTGTTATGGTGCTGGATCCAGGCAGTCCACATGTTAACACAGGACTAATGTACATAGTAACAATCACATCTAAAAAAATACTGCACACTAACACTGATCATGAGAACATGATAATTTTCTTTTGACATGAAATAGGAGGCTATACTTGAACTTCAGCTTCCTAAGAGACTTAAGGTATTTAAGGATCTCAGACTTTAAGAGGTCTGTGGAGATCTTTCTCTTTCACATACACACACAATTATTGTTATTGATAGGATTGAAACAGGTAGTATATGTCAGATAAGTCTCTTGCATGGAAAAATTGCAATTCTGTATAATGTCCTTGAAAATTTTGGTGTCAGCCTAAAAAAACTCGAAGAGAAAAAATATTCCATACTCATTCCCATTAACTGCTCTTCTCTCCAAGTTATGAGAAACTACCATTTTTTAAAGGACTTACAAGGCTGTCATATCTATATTCTACCTTCTTTACCTATATGATCATTCATAATGGTCTGTTTTAATTGCGCTCTGAAATTCAAGATGGAACATCACTTTTTAATATGCATTATTTAAATGTTCAGTATATGCATTTTTTCCCACTGATTAATTCCAACCATTTTCTTTTTTTAGTGAAATTACAGTAGTTGGAGTTCCTTAATCTTTTTTCATAGAGCTATTAATAAACATGATGAAAAATCAATGCTTTTTTTGCCACTAAACAAATAATAATGTCTATTAATGTTTATTAATACTTATTATATATAATATAAAAATTAGTTTGATATTAATCAGACAATGCTTTATATTCTGAACAATATTATAATCAATAGCAATTTTTAAAAAATATTTTATGTATATAATAATAATAGTACACACATAGTAAATAAAGTCTCCATTTTTTTCTGGCAATAGAATGTAATCAATGAACAAGCCACTTGGAAGGATGGAATGACTACTTAGAGGAACACAGGGAAAATTTTAGGGAATGACAAATTAGATCAAGAAATTACATGAACTCCAAAAGCTTCTCTAAAATAATCATGGAATTTGATCAGAGGGCAAAAAATATGTTCAAGGATGAAAAGAATAGAACAGAACCATTCCAAGGTTTGTTTGTTTGTTTAAGACAACAAGAACTTTGTGGAGATTTTCAAATTCAGCCTATCTGGTGAAACATGAAGGTTATTTTCTAACAGTTGCCTCAGCCTGCTATTCAAGTCCTTCTCAAGTCTTCCTTTATTGCTTCTTCACAGCAATTCTGATTTATCTAATATCCTTGAAAAGATTTGTATTTTCCTAGTTGGATGCCTTTGTTCAAAATTTCTCCTTTCTGTCCTCTATTCAAGCCTACTGATGTTCTAATTCTGTGAGAGTGTATCAAATCATGCTGTGAATGTAAAGTGTGCTTTTTTGAAAAATATACACAATTAAGAAAAACGTTGCCAGTAAGACTATAACAGAATTTTGTAATCATCAATTATAAAATGCATTGCAATTTCAGTTATTAAATTGTGAAAAAAATGTACACCTTAGGATAGAATAAATATAGTACTTTATAGCCTTTTCTCCCACCCCTTGAATAAAAATCTGAATGATCACTTCCTCCTTTTAACAGAACTCACCATATTTTGCCCTGTACTGTTGTTATCTAGATCTTTCTTTTACTTCCTCTTTTAAACTGTAAGTGTCTTCAGCTAGGTCATATCTGGCTAATCCCAATGTTAAATAGACAAGTTAAAGCTTCTAGCTCTTCTCAAGCAGACTGAGGTAAATTTATACAAATAGCTAATGCTGACAAACGTAGGAGATAAAACTTCATTATGGGCTAAACATAATACATTACACCTTTGTAATTAAATGGGAAAAAATCCAAGAATTGTAATGAGCTTGTAGGCTCAGAACTTCATTGGTATTCCAAGAAATTAATGTAGGTGTTAAAGTGGACAGCATTCTGAAGACAGCCCCAGGGGCTGCTTCAGTCAAAAATTTGCTTGTCATCAGAAGTGAGGATTCCAGAATAACAAAACAAAAACAACAGCAGGCTCTTCCACTGTCATAAAATTCATTCTGAGAATGAAACCAGAGTAATTCAAGGTTCTAGAAACTGAATTTCATCAAAGATAATGGTAGGGGAGTGGTTCTAAAAAAGCTTCTAAAGTGGTCAAAGGGATGGATGTCTTTCACTATTAAAAGGAAAATAATAAAAACTCCTCTTCAATATGGAGAAAACCGATCAAAAGGTATATATGACATTAGATTATAAAATAATGGTGGATGTATTGAGATAAATGATAGACTTATTCATTAGGGCAGAATTGAAAGGTTCTCAGAGGGCTCCATGATTGCCGTCCGAGCCCTGTCACTTCTCTGTTGGTTACTGGTTCTATTCAGAGCCTGTGCTGCTGATCTGCAGGCCTGGCGGGACGGGAAGAGAGGTGTTAGCAGCCCATGATTTGGTTCCTT